CTTTAAACGCGTTTTCTGGCTAAACTAGAAGAGATAGAGCGATTTTAAGTGTTTTTTTGTGATCACTGGGAGTTCACAGATTCTGCCAATATATTATAATAGGCTGTAGTAAAAATATTTTTGGAGATATTTAAAAAAATCTTGTGCAAAACTTTAAACGCGTTTTCTGGCTAAACTAGAAGAGATAGAGCGATTTTAAGTGTTTTTGTGATCACTGGGAGTTCACAGATTCTGCCAATATATGATAATAGGCTGTAGTAAAAATATTTTTGGAGATATTTAAAAAAATCTCTTGCAAAACCTTAAACGCGTTTTCTGGCTAAACTAGAAGAGATAGAGCGATTTTAAGTGTTTTTTGTGATCACTGGGAGTTCACAGATTCTGCCAATATATGATAATAGGCTGTAGCAAAAATATTTTTGGAGATATTTAAAAAAATCTCTTGCAAAACTTTAAACGCGTTTTCTGGCTAAACTAGAAGAGATAGAGCGATTTTAAGTGTTTTTTGTGATCACTGGGAGTTCACAGATTCTGCCAATATATGATAATAGGCTGTAGCAAAAATATTTTTGGAGATACTTAACAAAATCTCTTGCAAAACTTTAAACGCGTTTTCTGGCTAAACGAGAAGAGATAGAGCGATTTTAAGTGTTGTGATCACTGGGAGTTCACAGATTCTGCCAATATATGATAATAGGCTGTAGCAAAAATATTTTTGGAGATATTTAAAAAAATCTCTTGCAAAACTTGAAACGCGTTTTCTGGCTAAACTAGAAGAGATAGAGCGATTTTAAGTGTTTTTTGTGATCACTGGAAGTTCACAGATTCTGCCAATATATGATAATAGGCTGTAGCAAAAATATTTTTGGAGATACTTAACAAAATCTCTTGCAAAACTTTAAACGCGTTTTCTGGCTAAACTAGAAGAGATAGAGCGATTTTAAGTGTTTTTTGTGATCACTGGGAGTTCGCAGATTCTGCCAATATATGATAATAGGCTGTAGCAAAAATATTTTTGGAGATATTTAAAAAAATCTCTTTCAAAACTTGAAACGCGTTTTCTGGCTAAACTAGAAGAGATAGAGCGATTTTAAGTGTTTTTTTGTGATCACTGGGAGTTCACAGATTCTGCCAATATATGATAATAGGCTGTAGCAAAAATATTTTTAGAGATATTTAAAAAAATCTTTTGCAAAACTTTAAACGCGTTTTCTGGCTAAACTAGAAGAGATAGAACGATTTTAAGTGTTTTTTGTGATCACTGGGAGTTCACAGATTCTGCTAATATATGATAATAGGCTGTAGCAAAAATATTTTTGGAGATATTTAAAAAAATCTTTTGCAAAACTTTAAACGCGTTTTCTGGCTAAACTAGAAGAGATAGAACGATTTTAAGTGTTTTTTGTGATCACTGGGAGTTCGCAGATTCTGCCAATATATGATAATAGGCTGTAGCAAAAATATTTTTGGAGATATTTAAAAAAATCTCTTGCAAAACTTTAAACGCGTTTTCTGGCTAAACTAGAAGAGATAGAGCGATTTTAAGTGTTTTTTGTAAAAAAATCTCTTGCAAAACTTTAAACGCGTTTTCTGGCTAAACTAGAAGAGATAGAGCGATTTTAAGTGTTTTTTGTGATCACTGGGAGTTCACAGATTCTGCCAATATATGATAATAAGCTGTAGCAAAAATATTTTTGGAGATATTTAAAAAAGTCTCTTGCAAAACTTTAAACGCGTTTTCTGGCTAAACTAGAAGAGATAGAGCGATTTTAAGTGTTTTTTGTGATCACAGATTATGCCGATATATGATAATAGGCTGTAGCAAAAATATTTTTGGAGATATTTAAAAAAATCTCTTGCAAAACTTTAAACGCGTTTTCTGGCTAAACTAGAAGAGATAGAGCGATTTTAAGTGTTTTTTTGTGATCACTGGGAGATCTGCCAATATATGATAATAGGCTGTAGCAAAAATATTTTTGGAGATATTTAAAAAAATCTCTTGCAAAACTTTAAACGCGTTTTCTGGCTAAACTAGAAGAGATAGAGCGATTTTAAGTGTTTTTTGTGATCACTGGGAGTTCACAGATTCTGCTAATATATGATAATAGGGTGTAGCAAAAATATTTTTGGAGATATTTAAAAAAATCTCTTGCAAAACTTTAAACGCGTTTTCTGGCTAAACTAGAAGAGATAGAGCGATTTTAAGTGTTTTTTGTGATCACTGGGAGTTCACAGATTCTGCCAATATATGATAATAGGCTGTAGTAAAAATATTTTTGGAGATATTTAAAAAAATCTCTTGCAAAACTTTAAACGCGTTTTCTGGCTAAACTAGAAGAGATAGAGCGATTTTAAGTGTTTTTTGTGATCACTGGGAGTTCGCAGATTCTGCCAATATATGATAATAGGCTGTAGCAAAAATATTTTTGGAGATATTTAAAAAAATCTCTTACAAAACTTTAAACGCGTTTTCTGGCTAAACTAGAAGAGATAGAGCGATTTTAAGTGTTTTTTGTGATCACTGGGAGTTCACAGATTCTGCCAATATATGATAATAGGCTGTAGCAAAAATATTTTTGGAGATATTTAAAAAAATCTCTTGCAAAACTTTAAACGCGTTTTCTGGCTAAACTAGAAGAGATAGAGCGATTTTAAGTGTTTTTTGTGATCACTGGGAGTTCACAGATTCTGCCAATATATGATAATAGGGTGTAGCAAAAATATTTTTGGAGATATTTAAAAAAATCTCTTGCAAAACTTTAAACGCGTTTTCTGGCTAAACTAGAAGAGATAGAGCGATTTTAAGTGTTTTTTGTGGTCACTGGGAATTCACAGATTTTATAATTCTTATGTATGTATATAGTATAAATAATACATATGAATAATATATATACGGTAATGAGTAAAGAAAATTTGATATTATTTCGAAAATTAAAATTTTAAAATGAAATTTTACGGATACATCTATTATATATTAAAATTATTTAACCACATAACATTGACAAAAATATTGGGGTAAATATTATTTTAAAATTTTCTTATTTTAAAATGAGTTGAAGCGTACATTTTGCATTAGAATAGTATGATTTGATTAAGTATTTTACCCACACAAGACACAACCCGCATAACATAAGACATATTTACCCACATAAACCCATATAAGATGTATGATATTATTAAAATTTAATTAAAATTCAAATAGTAACAATGTGTTGAAATATTTTATTATTTCTTACAATTTATTTGTATTACATAGAATATGAAAATATGTCTGTCGGGAATGAAGTTCACATGGAAAACCGCTAAAAAGTGCGAAAATTTCTGTCTGGAATGAAGTTTGTATGGAATATCGTAACAAATACCAAAATATAAACGTTTGTCTAGAATGCTTAGAAAGTTAGAAAATTTCTGTCTGGAATGCATTATTCGTTACGTCTGATTTCATATAAAATATCATGACATATTACGGTTTTCATTAAAAATTTTTCTCAATTCAAAATATTTACCTCGAAATTTAAATACATAATTTTGTTTTACTTTTAAATAAATGAGAATTCTCTCTTCCGATTCTCTCTGTTAAATATTTCTCAATTGAAGTGAATTAAGTCACATATAATATGAAAATAGAAATAAGTGACAAAAAATGCGATAAATATAATGACATTTTTTTATTTTTATTTTTAATTATGATAAGAGAATGTTAATTTTAAATAAATTTCTCTTAAACAAAATTATTCTTTGACATTTGATATTTATAATGACATTTAATTATCACTTTCTATAAGTGAGTTTATACATTTAATTGCTATTTATAATTTTGGTGTTAAATAAATGTTTGTGATTAAAATGTCTAAACTTTTTATACGTATCTCTTTAAAAGTATTTTCATATTTCCTTGACATTTTTATAATTTTAAGCAAATTAATACACCTATGCAAATTATATAATATTGGGTAAATAAAATTTTTGTTGAACTTGTATAAATATGTAAATAAACATGTAATTTAATTTAATAATTTTCAAAAAATTTTTTAAAAAAGATCATAACGTTCTTGATCTCTTCCTTTTCCTCTTTCTCTCTATTATTTCTTTATTATTTTTAATGTTATGCATGTAATTTTTTCCAAAGAAATACAAGAAAATATTATGTAAATAAAATTAAATACATTCATAGTAATGAAAAAAGAATACTATCAGAAAAAAAAAAGAATGAAAATTACAATCAAAAACATTTCGAAAATAAAAAGCAAAATAAGAAATTTTGAACAAAAAACAAAATTAAGAAAACCAAGAAATAAATGAAGAGCAAAAATTCTAATCCTAAAATAATGTCTCATGACGTAAAGATTGTAAATGTCATGATAGTAACGAACACATGTGTGTTTAATGCAAATTTTTGTTAAAGTAAGAGCAACAGCAACAACCAACTAAAATGTTTTTTTTGACAAGCATACGAGTATATATTTGTTTGTATATAATGATTATATTGTACAATACATACATACATGTATGTACTTATAAGAATTATTATGTATATATGAAAAAGAAGTGATGTTTTTCTTTTCCTGTATTTTATGTATAATGATATTTTCTTACAAACAGAAATAATGATTATACTATCATGATGATAATATGATTACTATTGTGATAGCAATGATTATATTCATAATGTTAACAGTGATATTGATGATGGGATACAATACATACATATGTAATATAAAACTGGATATTAAATGAATAAAAAACTAAGAAAAATAAGAAAAATGAAAAAAACTTATGAGCCAGTACCAGTAAAATACACTATAGAAATGAGAGAGCAAAAAAATAAAAACAAAGAAACAAGAAAATATTTAAGGTTAAGTGAACGTGTGCGAAAATATTCAAATATATATACGCATATAACTAAAAATATACAAAATTCCTAGAAAGAATGAAAAATACAACAAAAAACAAAATATAAAAAATAATATTAGAAGAAGAAGAAATAAGAATATACTTACATTTCTAACGATATCTATTAATGTTCCCATGTGACATGAATCACAAATTAGTGGATTGTTGTCAAGCCTAACATTTCGTATATCTTTAATCCTTAGGGCAGAATCATCATTTATTCCTTTCAACTGATTCCGTGACAAATCCAAAAACTTTTTATTTCATACATATAATGTCAAACGTAGAAAGAGAGAGAAAAAAAAAAATAGAACAGAAACAAAAATGTCAAAATTTTTTTTTTTTTTTTATTTTAATTTTTTCTTATTATTATTTATTTTTTCATATATATGAATTCATAATGTTTATACGTACAATATATAGTATGTGAGTTTTATAATGTGTACAATTTATAAAGTATGATGAATTCAAATATATTATTATAATATGAAAATAAACAGCACCCAATACAGAAAAAAACAAAAAAAAAATTCATAATATATTTAAAATGACAGCACCAAATATACAATAATTTCTGTAACCAGCAATAACAGCAACAACAACAACAAAGTTTTCATAAGATTTACAAGAAAATTTTCTTACAAACTTTTATTATTATTTTTTTTCTTTCAAAAAAATTCTGGAAATATAGGAAAATAAAGGATCTATGTCAGATGAAGAGAGAGAAAGAGAGAGAGAAACGGAGAGCGAGAGATTATTAAAAACGTGTACCACCACTATTCAGTGAGTTAGAATGAAGTGAAAGTGATAGAAGAGACAGAATAAACGGGAGAGGCTGAAATGAAATGAATAAGAATTTGAAATGTTTCTTTTTTCTTTATTAAATTCTCTTTTTATTATTAAATATTTTTTGTTTGATATTTTGTTTTTTTTTTTTTTTTATTCCTTTGAGATAAAAAAAAAATTTATCTGAGACTTAAAGGATAACATGTAAAAACGATATTAATAAAGTAACAAAATTTCTCTTCTTGTTTATTTTTTTCTTTCTCTCTCTCTCTCTCTCTCTCTTCTTACTTTTGTTGTTGTTTTTGTTTTAGTAACGGTTTAGGTATAACATCCTTGGATATTAACTTAAAATTTTTATAAGAGTAATGTGTATTAAATTGTCGTTTCCGGTCAATTGATCAATTTTTTTTTCTGATATTTTTTTTTTAACTTTTATTTCGATTTTTTTGCATCAAAAAAAAAAAAAGTAGCTCTTAGATGATTTTTTTTTTCTCACTTGTGTAAACATCAAGGATATTCATAATGATTAAAATGAAAATGATTTAATGTTACCCAATCCCTTATAATATTTTAGTTTTCTAAAAGTTTTGAGGCTAAATAACAAAATTAATTTTGATATGATCCGAATATTTTTAAATTCACTATTATGTTTGTGGTTTCTTATGAGTTTCTTTATGATTTTACACTATATTGAGATTTATTATTAATATTGTACTTTAGTAAATATTAATTTTGTATTATGAGATTTAACGATGATATACAATTGAATTCGGGTGTATTTTTGAATATATATACTTTTTTTAAGATACCAATGCGGGACTGTGTTAGTGTTTTATGTCGGGTCCTTTTAATAATGTATTTCATTCCGAACTAATGGAAAGTTGCTGGAAACAAACAAAAGAAATAATGCTTTTGTGTGGTTCATCGAAGATATTTGCGCAGAGGATATTTTTTGTTAGTAGTCAGAGACGAATTTGAATAGTGGGAGGACAAGATTCTGAACAAATGGAATGTTAAAAGCTGCATAGCTTTAGAGAGATATAGAGTGATAAAAATTGTTACGTTTTAAGCAAAAAAAATAGTCTTGTAAACTTCTTGATGCTTCTCAATAAAGTGGCAAGATAAGATGTTCTATGGTTTCTATTGAGTTGTATTTGAATGAAATGTAAACTTTGTAAACGAATTTTTTGGAAATAGTAAAGCACAGTTTGAAATTTTCTGTTTTATAAAGACGGAAACGGCTTGTTTGTTTACTATCGTTACTCCTAAAATCTGAAAAATTTTTGATCTGACGGTCAAATTTTTCTCACAAAATTTAAGTACCACGTTATACAAAAATTATATATGAATTTATTTATTAAACTTTGAACTTATTAAAAAAATTATTCAAATATTTCATGAATCTGAAGTGGTCCTGGTAATCAATTGATGGTGTTTTTTTGTTTTCCGAAATAAATTATATACTGTTTGTACCCAATAAAAGTTTGGTTAATATTTTTGTAGTCATATCGTTATTAATAAATAAATTTAAATATTGCAAATATTGAAAAAAAAAAATATAAAATCATAAATAATTTTTATAAAAAAAAAACGAGAAAAAATAGAGTTGACCATGTCATCTCTGTGATATCCGTACGAATTCCTTATCCTATGTACGAGTAAATATGCCATAAATGACTATGGGGCAGACTATGACTTTAAATTGCCGTAATAACATACCAATGGAAAATTTCAGTACTGTGATTTAAATATTTTTTAAGATGTGGAGAAACTACTATTGAAGTTGTATGGCAGCCACTACAGGGAGTCAAGAAATTTCAACGATTTTTATCACACATAACAGCCCTAATAATACACTTGTTTTCATGAAATTTCTATATTATAGCTCTAATATATAGCTCCAATAATTTCTGTGATAATACCAAATAACTTTTGGATATGTATGGCAGCTTCCCGAACCAGTTTTTTAATCATATCCAATTTAAATAGGGTTCTAACATATCAGTCTATTGTGAAAACTAAATCGACAGAATGACCGACAAACTAAATCGGCTCAGAATTCGACGCTAATCAAAAACTTATACTTGATTCTATATCGCAGACCATTATTTCTTGGCGTTACAAACGGTAAGGTAGATTTAGTATACCCTTCGAACATACGTTCGTACGGGGATAAATATTGCAAATACTTATCAGGCGTATCCTTACTTGTCAAAAAATAAATAAAAAAAAAATATATTTTATACACATGATAAAATATTCAAAGTTTCTTTTTCATGATATTTTCCTGCTGATTGATGGGCACTATATGCATACATAATGAACATGTCAATATATCAACTTCAAATCAATATATACATAAGATATATCCTTGCGTATATACGAGATGAATCCTTTCCTGTTAGTTAAATATAACACATACTGCAATATTTATAGAGCACATGTGTATTTTTTTATATTTTTTTTTATGGATTCTGATGAAAAGTTTCTGATGCTGAAAAAATATTTATTTTCATGAATTTATCATTTATGAAATTACTTTGTAAAATTTTCTCTATATATACAAATTTACAAATTGGTCATATAAATAGTTTAGATGTTCCGTACTAGTATTCATCGTGCTGCTTTTCTCTTGCTAAAGATGACAATTGTACAATATGACACTGATTGACTTTCAATGAAGTTGCAACTAAATTGCAAAATAATCATGGTTATAACAATCAAAAACTAGAGTTCAAGCTGATCTATATCTGGATTGTAACGCAAAAAAAAAAAGCAATTTTATCCTATTCTATTCTAAAATTATTGTTCTAAGTGGAATAAGTTGAATTTTCCTTGTATTCTATTATTGAAACTGATACACATATTGAAATGTATTTGATTATTACGACAAATCGGCTTTGTTCTTGGAATCCTCCAATAATGTTATAGTAAATAATAAAAATGCCTGGCGCATCAATATTGACGCAAGAAATTTCAAGTCATCTCTTCGAAAATTTAGTGCAAACAGATGTAATTTAGTAGGAAACATTTAGTCGTCCTATTGTGATATCCCACTCCAAAATAAAATTACTACAACTAGATTTAGAACGCACATATTTAACATCCACCAAAGACATGACCCTGCTAAGTTCATTAATTATCTGCCGCCCAACACATCACTGTTTAATAAGTTATATCCATCCGTCTCAAAATCTGCACAAATGGTATATTATAGTTCAAATCGTAATGGCTTGTCAGCATGTCAACTCTATTTAACACTAAGATTTCTGCGGCTTCATATTTTAATGAATCTGGAATTAGTGAATGACCGGTCTCTTCAGTGTTCTGTATATAAAGGTTTACAATACGAGGCGCATACATATGTATTTCTGTATTAAAAGCCTCCAATTATAAACCATTATTTTAAAAAATTCTGGATGTTTTACATCTAAATGCTTTAATAAAGTTATTAACAATAAATAACCATCACTTTGTATAGGTAATCAAGTGTGTTATCACAAGAGCCTTTCATAATAAAATCATAACTTATACTTAAACAATTTTTCAAAAAATAAAAGGGGTAGAAATTAAATTGTATTTAAAATAATATTTTATAAGATTATTAAAAAATTTTCAACTATTTCCGGTATTTAATTGTGTAAATACAAAATTTATAGACTTTATCTCTCTAGGATTTAATTTAGCAATTACAGAATTTTTATTGATTCTTATCAACATTATTATTCAATTTATTTTTTTTTTAAATAATAAATTTTTAAAAATCTCAAAAACAAATGTTTATTTAACATTAATTATCTATAAATTTTTAGAAAATAAAATTCAATTTCACTATTTTAAAATTAATCACTCGTGCAGCACTTCTATATTAAAATTGAATGCATATTTCTAATTTTAAAATCGCATTAATTTTGTATTTAAATCAAGTCGACACAATCTCGTAATTTATGTGAAAATTTTTTAGATCGAATATTATGGTTTTTAAATGTGAACATATGGTAATTTTATTCTTTTATACTTTTATGATTTTTAATTCCTGTTTTCCTTTTTAAATCATTTTATTTTTCACGATAAAAATGTTAAATTACATATATTTGCATTTATAAAACGAACAGTAAGATCTTTGAAAACTTTGACCGGTTATAGTTGATATCTGATCCCAATCACCGGAAATATCACTAAGAGAAGCCATCACTCAATCATCTTTTAATCATTTTCCGAAGTTTATAGATTGTATAAAGCCATGTCCAACTCGTGTAAATTTAAAGTTCCAATACGCATAACTCTGAAGTTTTAAGGATAAAATATATAAATAATTCGCAGCAACCTCTATCTACCAATGATCTAAGCAAAACAATAGCACGGGATAGGTCAACAAATACCAATGACTTGGAGAAAAACCAGCAGACTACCGTGGTTAACTCTTACGGTATCTTTGATGTTGGTCCCAGAATATTACGACATAGATGAGAATGAGAACGCCGATGTTCTCGCCCGGAAGGGAGCGGTAACTCCTTTCACCAGAGCTATGCTTTGAAATGTTGATAACAATGATGTTCCGCACCTTGAATATTTGTTATCAGAGGAACGGGCCAGGTTTCGAGATAGTTGGCTCTTCTAATCGTTTATAAGGCAGTTCGAGGTAGGCTTAGTTTGGGCTCCTAAACACAATGTAAGGTAGACGAGCTTGCGAGACATGGGACAGGAGCTTGGAAAAGAGCATCTCTAAGCACTTATAGCTGCTGTTACGCAAAGTGGCAGTGGAGCGCGCTTACTCATATGAGCAAATAGAACAACATGTAACGCGACGAGGAAGCTGTGGTTAAATCTGGGCTTGCCTCGCACAAGGGATCTGATATCTCTTGATTTGATATTTGTGGGGAGTTCGGAATGTTTTAAATGAGGGGTAAAAGGAGGGAGATCCGATGGTAGCACAATGGGTTTTAGTGGACTATGTGTATCCTTTTCGGGGACGCGTGAACCAAATCTAACCTATCGGGCCAGGGATGATCGTTGGAATAATTGTCCGCGCTTATCTCGCTCCAAAAAATTTTAAGGGACTGACATCGCTTGGTCGTTCAGATTAGAGGTCATTTCCTGTCAATGGTTTATTTGAAAAGTTGTACTGCTTGATTGTCTAAAAAACTCACTACAGTTTTTAATGGTCTTCGTCTTCGGACATATTGTCACTACTGCCACATATTTGATTTTCAAACCACTGGCATAAAAAATTTTTTTTTAACTATCGAGAACTCGCTGTTAGTATAATGTAAAATTTTGTTCAAAATATTCTGACAATTATTATCCTTGACATGTTCTCATTTCACTTTTATACAAATTTTTATAACATTTTCAACAAAATATGAAGCCAAAAATGAGAAGCATAAAATACAATTTTTTTTTTCACGATTTTAAAACATCCTGATAAAGAGCATATAAGTGTATAAGTGTGTATGTACGTACAAGAATAGGTTTTTCATCAAAATATTTTTTTTTTGATGAAATTTTAATCGAAAATTTTTCAACTCTTTCATTTTGTTGTCAAAATGATAATAGAAGACATTTTTAGTTTGCAAAAAATTAAAATAAAAAAAAAAACTGATAAAATTCATAGAAGGAAGCACATGTACACTCTTTTGTTGTTGTTACTCTAATAAATATTTGTCTATAGAAGCTTGCTCAAAATGTTGCTAGACAATATCGCCTTGAAATATATTTTACAAAAACTTGAAACATAATTTTGTTTTTTCCTCCATTTTATTTTGTTTTTTGCTTCATTTTTTGTTCTAATTTTTAAATTTAAATTTTATTACATACCTCAAGTGAAGGACACGGATTGATGACTTGAATGCTGTCCAAATGATTTCCAGATATGTTTAAATAACGAAGTTCTTTGAAAGGCACCAATAAACCCATCGGTAAAATACCCATATCGGCTACTGCTAAACTTGTTAAATGGGAAAGAAACTGAAAATAGATAAAAAAAAAATAGTAATAAAATACCTACTACATATACATAAACATTTTGTAAATGAAATTAAAAATAGTGCACATACATATTGTATATATACAATGTTTTGTACATATTCATAGGCATAGTCAAGTGCTGATTTACATAATTCTGATATTTGTAGGTACCAAATGTTAGGATATTCTTATAGAGCACTATAATGTAGATGAAATTATAATGTAAGGATAAAATAAGGTCTCATTTTTTATAATGAAATTTAAAGCCTATCTACTGCATTTGAACTTACATTGTAGGAGATAAATTATACGGTACTACACTTATAACCATCATTTTTATTTTACATTACGATATGAGAGTGTTTATTACAAAAAACAAGTAAAATTTTGAAAAATATTACACTTTTAGTAATGCAATATGCATTTGCAGATAGATTATTGTCGAATAATAATTTTGTCTGAGTTTTTTATTCGAAAATCTAACATTAAATTAATTGTATTTTAAATATTGCAATCATAGTGTTAAAAAAAACAAATTTATTACATTCTCTGTAAATTCTAAATATAGAAAATAAAGAAAAATGTTTTAACAGCCGTCGACAATCGATTAAAAAAATATTTATAACTTTTATCACAAAAGTTTTCAAAAAAAAAATTAAATTTTTTTATGCCTACAATATTTTAATGTCTGTCACATTAAATAGATTTTTTATGGTATAAATAAAGAAATGTACATACATAAAACCTATAATTGAACACAAAAAAGACCGTATATACTAAGTTTCTTATAAAGAGTGTTACCATATACCGTAAATAGTATTTGCCTTGGTTGTAGGTTGCTTTGAATGTTATTTAAAAGCAATAATAACTTAGACTATTCTTGACCAGCAAAACTTAGAATGCACATTTCTCATTCATTTTAAGCTCGTCAACCAGTGATTATTGTAGCCGAACCTTCTCGGCAATAATTATTGACAAGGTGATGGTACTAAATATTTGACATAATTAATCTGTAGGAGCTCTCGTCAAAATGACGATTATATTTTGTTTATAAATGAACCAATTACGGCAAATTTGAGTAAATTTGTTACCCAAAATTTTGTGATAAAAACCAAATTTTTTTTATTGCCCAAATCGAAGACTGATTTTAAAACAAAATTAACAAAGGGCTCGTGAATGATTTGTCAAATTATATTCATTATTTGATAGATAGGTCGTTCGAAAATTCTTTCTGAGTAAAAGCACCCAATATTTCTAAGTGTCAACACTAGAACTTTTGAATCACAACTAAGTGCATATTTCAAAAGCAATTTATTTTTTTTATAATTTATTAAAATTTTTAAAGGTTCGATCTACCTCCATTTATTTTCGATTTACCTTCTTACATTCACATGTGGCACATTCATACCCCATATAATCTCATATATTATTGTCAATTCAGAAAAAGAGAAAAGATTTATTTATTGATTATAAATTTGCTATTCTTTGGCTTTTTTTTTTTTTTTGGTGAGTTATTTTTGACGTCAACAATATTATAGTGACTTACGGCAACATGAATGACAAATGATTTTTTTAAAAATGAGTTAGAAAATTTTAAAAATAATATTTTCTTCGTGTTCTTTATTCACCAGGACTATTTCATTTGTCTTCCGTTTTCAACATAATAAAGCATTTTAAATGTTGATTTTAATAAAATTTAATAAATAATGTGGTTATCATAAGCAAGGTCAAAAATGTCAATAAAACAAAAGAAAAATAATAATAATTTTGGAAACTGTTGAAATATGATTGAAAAACTTTTCTCTTTTTTTAATATTATTATTTTTCGTTTCATATGACATAAAAATTTATTTTGTCAAAACAAAATGTTTTTTTTTTATATTAAAATAAAATTGTTTTTATTTTGAATTTTCTCTTTTAAATTTCTTTAAATGCAAAATATTGATATTTTAAAATTATTGAAGTTGACATTAGAATGCCCACGTGTGTAAATATTACAAAAATGTCAGAAAAAATTTTCAATTATATTAGACTGGTAGCGGTAAATTAAATTAAAGAGCGATATTTAATTTAAGCGAAGAGAAAGCGTTAGTGGAGACTGGAGAGTATAGCATCAGAATTGAAAGTGAAGGTGGAATTCATATTGTTTTTTGCATTTTGTTATAGAATTGAAAGTGATGGTAACAATTTTTGTTTTTGAGAGTATGTACAACCCATATTAATATTTTAAATATTTTTATTGGAGAGATTTTATTTATAGGAATTCTTCTCAACATTATAATTCATTAAAGTTTAATAAGAAGGGATTGGATTCTACTTTACATACAATTTCATTTTCAATTGCATTCGCTTTTTTTTTACAATAATTGAGTTCATATTCATATTATTATTAACAAAAAAGACTCTCATATTTCAATTGAATTAAAATTGAATGGAATCATTTTTATAATTACATACAACTTATACGGGTATTCGAAATATTCTATGTATGTAAGTATACATTACTCGTATGTACATAATTCTGATTTTTAAATTGAATAGTTTATATAAAGCCTATACAGGTAATATGTAGGTAATTCACAATAAATGAGAATCAACTTGTGTTTTAGGTACCTATTTAGCCATCTTAACATTAACATCAATTTCTGTAAATTAATTTTATTTATTTATGTATGAACAAGTTCCTTTTCTTATTTGTTTTGATTTTTTTTTCTCTCTTTTATTATTCTATTGCTCTTTCTAAGAGGTAATTCAAGTAGATAAAATATATATATTTTTTTTATAGCTGTAAATCTCAATTTCAAATGTACATTATACTCATTCGAGTTTTTTTTTACTATTTTGTTTTTGACTTTTTTATTTGCTTTGTTTCTTGGCATACATTCCAAATAAACCAGTATGTAATATATATATAGAATTATATGTACATGTACACATATGTGTAAATGCATTATAATAATTTCTAAATTTTTAATTATTTTATTGGTACGCATGTGTGCACATTAAACATATATTTTATTAATATGTTAAGAGTATATTATACAATGTACTCAGTGTAAACATACCTAAAATTAAATATACATGTTATTATGATTTTATATATGTACTCGTATATGTACTTAAGTTTATATTTCATATTGAGAAAAAACCGGAAGTGGTAGAAAAGTTTTACCGTATGTATCCCAAAAAATATATACATATATTTAAGAAACTAGGTCATAACTTAAAATAATATAATTGATTGATATTCACGTATGCGAATTAATGTAGTATAGAATAGGTTATAGAATAGTACTCTTAATTAGTTTAAGTCGATACAAGAGTATCACATAACACAACTTACATTAATACGGATAATTTATTTACCAATTAACAAAATGGAAAAGAATATAAAGTGAATCTAATAATAAAATATGTTTAATGTAAAAATATGCGCACTCCCACTATAACTCTATTGAAATTATCCATTACATTTGAAATATTCTACATAATAATCTTTAATATTAAAAATTTATTCAATTATTTACAGAATAATAGGCACTTACCTCAAATGAACTACGCATTTCATGCAAATCCATTTGTATATTACCACTAATATTTAATGTTTTCAGTCTCGTTAGATATTGAACAGCTTGTGATTCTAATCTTACCAGCTTATTATATGATAAATCCAGATATGTTAAATTTGAAAGGCTGGAGAATGCTGTATTTGGTATTTTTGCTAATCGATTATATGATAAATCTGGAAATATAAATATTAAATATTTTTTTTTTTTAATTAAATATTTTTTTTTTTAAAGAAAAAAAACAAAATAATTCTTTAGTTAAAGAAAAATAAATAAAAAAGTACATGAACGTTTTTCTTTTACGATAAAAATTGCGATACAATAATATTATATAAGCAAGCTTTATATGACCCTCACTCGTGATGAAGAAAAATAGTTTTCTTACGGAATATTACCCTATAGACGCTGCGAGACCACTGAAAGAAGTTATCATGTAAAGCTGTTTTTTCCATTTTACACAAGAAAGTTTTCTTCAGTGAGTGAATCGAAATAGGGCTCATCTTATTACTGGCTTCTAAATTTTGCATTATCCGGGGATATATCCTTTATATAAACTGGGCATTAGTTCAGGTAATTTATTTGGGTATAACTCTAGATGATCATCTCTCCTGGAATACTCATATAGACAGGGTTAGGAGTTTTGTTGATTTTTGGGACATTAGTCCTAAGGTAGCGTTCTAGCTATATACATCCCTTGAAGGCCCAGAAGTGAAAAGCTCGGCTACAACCTAACGATTTCTTACTGGTGAACATGTCGTAAGGAAAATTTTACCCTATGGTATACTTATAGAGCTTTCGTCGAGAGCGACCACATCCTCGTGATAGCCATCTTAGATGTCTGTTTCGTGCTATAAAACTTCGATCATGAATGCAAGGAATGAGTTTCCTGATCGGTCATGCGCGGAGTGCAGCCGAAAATAGGTAAAAGCATGAGCCTGCACCCGTATTGCTCGGTGCGTCGAGCTCAAATACATAGAAAGTCAACTTGCAAAGGGTTGAAAGTCAAAATTGAACTATTTATGTACTTTCAGATAGCAAGGCGGTGTTGTCGGCGTTCAAGTCAGTTTAGGTTAGATTTAAGCTCTAGTTAGAAACTTCTTGCTCGCACTAATGGAGGTGATATTAACAAACAAAGTAACGCTCTTTTATGTGACGGATCATATGTTCAATAGGATTGCTGACGTAATGGCGTGGACGGGATCTCATCCTTTCGTACCGGTCCGTCTCCTTCTGTAGACTGTCAATGTTTGCCGTTAGGGGTAGGTTAGGCGTTCTGCTTGAGGGAGAATTAAATTTTCACTGGGTGTTTTTTTTATAATAATAAATTTTATCAAACACACCCTTTTAATTTTATCGAAAGCCAATTTTTATATTAGTATTAAATTTCATATTCGATTTTTAAGAAGCCAAGATTTCCTTTGATTTTCTTTTTTAGCACTTTTCCAAAAAAATTTTGAAAAAAAGTGCTTATTAGTTTCACTCTGTCCGTCCGTCCGTCCGTCCGTCCGTCCGTCCGTCCGTCCGTCCGTCCGTCCGTCCGTCCGTCCGTCCGTCCGTCCGTCCGTCCGTCCGTCCGTCCGTCCGTCCGTCTGTCCGTGTGTCTGTTTACAAAACTTCTACATTCTTAAAGATAGAGAGCTGAAATTTAATACGTACATAGATCTTTACTAGAAACTTATTTTCGTAGAACAAAATTTTTACCTATCTCCCCCCCTCTAGAAGTTATACCCCCCCAAAGCACTAAAAATTACCTATTTTAACTATTTGTTGCAATGAAACCATAAGCATTTTTGAAATTTTGCAAACGCAGAAAGGCAGCGGCGTGCTTCCCCTATCGTGGTATACTATAGTTAAACTTTAGAAAAACAAAATAGCCGCTCAAATTTACCGTTATCTAAAGTCCTTTTTTTCCAAATTTTTGATGTCGTTTTTCTTCTAGACCCCAGCCTCTAGGAGCTTGAAATTTTAGGGGCTTTTAGACATTAACAAGTAGTTCATTTCGTTAGAAGAAAATTTTTTTCCATCTCCACCCCCTCTCAAGTTATGGCCTCTTGAAATTTATAAAATTTGCATTTTTGACACCTTATATTTCTGAAACCGCAAGTTTTTTCGAATTTCTATAAACGCAAAAAGTTAACGGTAAATTCCATGACATTAAAAAATATAATTATTTTTCTTAACTCACACAATTAACCCTTAAAATCGAGCATTATGTTAACCCCACTTTATATTATTTTTGCTTTTTTTCAAAGACTGCATAAATCGTTCATCCTAAATATATGCAATTCTAGAAATAGTTTTGTATATGAATGTAAATAATTTTAATAGTGTGATAGGTATACATAGACTGTTTTTAAAAGCAGAATTTTCACTTGTTGAAGGGAAAAGTGCTGCAATACAAACCATTGGTTTGACCCAACTTTTTATTGTAACTAAATCTTTAGACGATTATATTTTTAGAATTTTTCTTTTACTTAAAATTTTTTCCATTCCTTTCATATTTTCATTTGAAATCTTAATGTACTTTTTACCTTGTTTCCGATCTGATAAGTTAATGTATTTGGCATATACGTATATAAAGTGTTTTATTTTTCCGATTTTTCATGAATTTTTTTTGTTCATTTTTATCTCATGCCTATAGAATTGAAAATTTTTATTATTTTCTTTGATTCAGTAGATTTTTTTTTTTTGTAATTTTATTGAAATAAAATCGAGCACATAATATTATTTTCTAATTTATAATAATATTATACTTTAGGTAATTAGAACGTATTAAATATGTAAAAGACGTAATATTATTATTAAAAATATTCATCAAATATTAAAAAAAAACATACTCTCTTCTCAGAAATATTAAATATTTACGGTATTTGAATTCTATTTTGTTAGAATTCTTCGAATTTTTTTAGAATTCAAATAAAAACTAAAAATTCCAATTTGTTTCTTTATTTTTAATATTTGTCATTTTCTGTGAAACCATAATATTTAGACCACATAAATGTGTATATATTCATAAAAGAGTTATTACGTGCATTTATTCACATACACACAAATTTATATTTTTCCCAATTCACTATAAATTTATAATCTTTACAATTTTTTTCTTATTACTTTCGAACATAAATTGCAATTTTTATTTAATTATAAAATTTATAAGTACTTGGTATTTAAAAAAAAAATTTTGAAAAGAAAATTGGTGTGCTCAACACATAATCAAGCGCAATGCATATTGTCTGTTTTAGTGAAAGTGTTACAGAAGATTATGAAAATGCCTTTTGAACAGTTCCATTCAATTTTAAGGGTGTTAGGAATATTTTGGTTAACATATACCTAGAAAATATAAATTTGGCATTTATTCTTCTATTTGTTTGCTTTTCTTCGATATTGCAAAAAATTTAAAAGCTGCCGAATTTGATTTCCGAGCCCAAATTTTTTCAAAAGATTTATAGATTAATTGTCTTAGCACGAACAATTAAAATATTAAATTTCAAGGAAATTGGTTGATTATTTCTCCTTATGTACGCAAAAATGCAAAATACAGTTTAGGGGGTTTCATGTACTCGTATCCCAAAAGTTGATCAATTCTGTGCCATAGTCGAAATAAACTTACAAATAAAATTTTATCGAAATCGGTTTAGCCAAATTTCAGATACGCGCTTCCACACACATTCCGTCAAACCGACATATCTCTGTGCATTCCAACCGAAAACTTGTAATCCAAAACTTCGTGCTAACACAAAACCTTCCTTATTATATGCAATTCGGTCGGTAATAAACTATAGAAAAAATGTTATATGGTTTTCCTTTTTTAAGTTTGGTAAGATTTAATTTTAAAAATTTGCATTCGATTTTTATACAAATAAAATTTATGCCTATTAGAAAAATTCATCATTCCTTGTATACCATTACCATATATACACTTGCACATTATATATATAGATGTAGGCATATCACATGAAATAGCTCTAAAATTACAAAATATACAAGGGAATGGGTAGATATTTTTTTTATAATTTTTCTAATATGTATGATAAAATGAATTTTCATTATGCTTGATCAACCTAAAATATAAACGAAATTTTTTATATCAAAAATTTCTTATGAGTCTTATGTATGTACGCATAAGGTTCAATCAAAAATTTTTTTTTTGAAATTCATGTTTTGCTTACCTTCTCTAATAGTCAAAAAAAAAAATCTCAAAAATATTTGAATTTTTGGATAGATATTGTAGAATCTCATAGAATCTCATTTAAACTCAGAAATGAAAATTCTAATAAACTACTTAAATTAGGAGCCTTATATAGAAGCTTCCGAAAAATTTACAATAATTTTATATTGAAACATATTTGGTTTGGTTTTCTTGTTGTAAATAAGTTTTTGGATGAATAATAAATGTCTAGCCTAAATCAAACATTTTTTGTGTTGGAAATTCCGAATAAAAACTATAAGTATAATAAAATTATAGGGGGTAAAAATAAAAATTTTGATTGAAGTGAATCCATCTTAATTATGTAAGGTTTTAAAACCTAAAATAATTTTACCTTAATAATTTTATTTAGTCCATTTTAGTTTCTGAAATCCTGGATTGAGGAAACAACACAAAAGTCTTATACTAATAATTTCTACACATCTAATATTTGAAATGTTAAATTTAATTTACAAAAATTACTTAATCATTCTTTAGTTTTGCATGTCATTTAAGTTAACAATTCTATTTGGAATTTCTAAATTATTGGTTTGAATCCTTGAAAAATTTAGCCACTAATTGTGTTTTAAAGAAAAAATTTAAAACTAAATTGAATTTAAAACTTTGAAATAATTTTATATTAATTTTAGATTTGTTCTTAAGCAATGCAAGCTATTACAAATGGCTCAACCGTGTGCAGAGTGCCGTCGGAGACACCCGTGTTGCTCGGTAAGTCAAACTCAATTACATAGAAAGTGATCTATGTTCTCTCAGACAGCAGAGGGGCGTTGTCGGCGCTCTAGTCAGTTTAGGTCATACTCAAGCTTGTTCAGAATTGCTTGGCCGCACTAATGGAGTTGGAGTCAATAAACAATGTAAACTCGTTTTCAAGCAATGCAAGCCTATTGTAATACTATAATTAATTCAAGATTATTATAATCTCTTAATTAGTTAGATTAGATCTAATTCATTGAGCAGTTATAGCTCTCTTAATGAGCACTCAATGCTCGCTCAGAAAACATAATTCAGTAGAAATAATTGAGAAATTATTGAGATAAAGTCACTATGACTCTAATTCTTTTGTTGCTCAGTCGAAAATTAATCAATATTTAAAGATGTGGAAGTTGATAAAAATTATAATAAAAGAAATAACAAACGAAATAATTAAAACTTACCAAGATATTGCAAAGATTTTTGCATTCGAAAAAGTTCATCGACCACAACTGGTAACCTATTTCCATCTAATGAAATCTTTGTTAGTTTCACCAAATCCTGGAATTCATCTTTGTAAAGAAATTCAAACTGGCAACAGCAAAAAAAAAACATATTTAAATATTATAGGTGAAAGATATAAAGTAGAAAAAAAAATGATTTAATAATAAAAAATTTATTAAAAAAAAATTTAGTACACAAAAAAAAAAAGAAATTTTTTCAGAAGAGTTTTTAATTTAATGAGTATTTGCTCAAATAAAACTTTAATATTTTAGGAAAGGTACTAAAACAAAAGTGGCTGATGAAGGATTAAAAAAAAAAAACATTAACAAAAAAAAAAAAAAAAAAATTTTCATGTCACTAAATAACAACATGCCACAATAAAAATAAAATTTCAAGTATAATTTCAGTGGCCCTGTGTCACAAAAAATTAAGAATTTGCAATTCTTAAAAGTTAGTTTCGCAAGATTAGTTTCGTACCTTGCTTTTGCGACAGCTTAAATTGGCATTATGCCACACAATCAGGCGAAGGTACATAAAATTGAGCGGGATCTGAGAGACATTGGCCGAAGCAACTGCATTAACTAAAATATTTAAATTCTCTCTAATAATGTGACAACTCGTTGATACTAAAACGGTACAGTTAGTGAACCATTACCCTGCGTAGTTGTACGTCAGTTGGCACCAGAATATTTATTTTACGTCCTGGTCACAGTGAAATAAGGTTATTGAAGAAGCCGTTTGATGCCGATTTCATTGATCAGTAACAATTTTGTGATTTGCCTATGGCTATAGTTAAGATGAAATTTAGGTAATTGACTGGAATCGGAAATATTATTGTTAAATTCGAAGTATGCCAACAGGTAAACTATATGCAAATCCTATAAGTAATAGGCGGTGAAATAGATCAGTACGTTTTCGGACCAATCTAGGTTCAATGAAAATATATTTACGTACCATAGAAACATTGTCAACCACTTTGTGCACAATTTTGCGGTATAGAAAATTAAACGACAATGTAATCGTTTTAAGTGAAAAAGAGAAAAGAACAATTTAAATAATTTTGATTTGTGACCACCGACTCATAGCAACTTAAACATTTTTATAGTAGGAAAAAAGAAATATTTATGGAAAAAGTTTTTTTTTTTTTTTTTCATTATTTTTTGAAATAATTTTTTTTTAAACGTTATAGCACATACGCGCACTCTATATATAAATCACTAACTATAATCATGATAAAGTTTAAAAGATTTGAAAAATGTTACTTTTTAAAAAAAGAAAAAAATTCTAGTTATTTAAAACAATTTATATAGTTAACATACATATAAGGTGTTTCAGAAATACCAAATGGCATAATTATAATAAAAAGAATGAGTGTAGGAAGAAGGAATTAGATTTTTAGTAAATATGTAAAATATTCAACGTTAAATGCAATAATATTTAATATTTAAATGAAATAACGGTAAAAGAACTTTAGAAAATTATTATTCTTATGAATCCATTAACCTTAACTCTTATTATAAACTTCAAATAGGCATAATGTGGGTAAGAAGTTGATAACATAAAAAATTGTTGATTAAAAAAAAAAATTATTCAAAGACGAAAATGAGAAGGATATTATGTGGGTTGTTTAATTTTAACACTTGAATAATTAAAAAAATTTAAAGGAAAGGCAAAAAAAAACTTGATTGTTAAAATATTTAGAATGGAATACCTTAAGTCACGCTAAACATTCTAACAATCTAACTGAAATTCTATAAAATAATAATATAAACTTACCTCATTTCGACCCAAATCAAGTTCATCTAAATGTTTAAGATAAGTGTAAAGTTGTGGGTTGATTTTCTTTAATTGACAATTACGACATTTTAATACTTTTAATTCCTAAAAAATTATTTTTGGTAATGAAAATTAATATTTAGCAATTTTTGTTTAGAGTTCGAATAAAATATTTTTTAAGAATATTAAGAAATAATATAATGCTTACTGGAACATCTCTGAAAACATCTGGTTGTAAATCTCTTAATGGGTTACCGCTTAAATCCAAATATTTCAATTTTGATAATAAATAAAATACTCTTTGTCCTAATTCTTCAATTGAATTATCTGCTAAGTTAAGTCTACGTAAATCCTTTTTTTTTTTGGTATGAAAATGAAAAAAATATAAACAAATTTATAAAAATTTAGAGTGTAAAAACGTTAGTACAGTACAGAGTCAATATAATACTAGTATGTGTTATATAGAATTAATTTATACAAGTTTGCAATGAAATTAGTTGGGAATTAAACAATTTTCAAAGAAGAACTCCTAACATTCAATGAGAAATGTAAAATTCAGGAGAAAACAGTAGTAGTAAGGGAAATAAACCCCATCCGGTTACCCATACGAGGCATTCAACAACGCCTCTTGTAATACACACCATACATTTCAAAACTAGCACCAAAAATTCCCCCGCAAAATTCATTAAGTCATTGTAAAGAATGGATACCATTCTTCTTTCACATCAGAGAAGGAAAGGCACAAAAAACATGTTCAAAATTCTATACAAACGCAATATCCTGACATCGACAAATATCCGTTCCAGTATCTCCTAATCTATTGGCCTTTTACCTCAAGAGGTAGTGCCCAGTCAACACTCCGCCAATATGCTAAGGTCAGTTCTACTGTTCCAATTCTTCTAATCCTTACCTGACAAAAGCGCTCTGGTCAACCCGCAGGCAGAATATTTTGCTCATAATACCACGACCCTATCCTTTTACTTTCCTTATCTATAATGTGAATGAATTCCTTCACTTCTCCACAAAGAAAATCTGCAATCTCATTTCCTCGTATTCGCTGTGATTGAGAACGCAGTAAATGGTCAACTTGCACACATTGCAAAATTCTCTCTTTGCCATGCTTCCCTGCACTATCCCGCTAAACCCGACCTAGCTCCGTAGGACCCGAGACCCCCGATCGTTACCCTTCTCTAGGTCTGATCAAATAAACACTATTTCCGTGTGGAAAACCTCATAGCCATTAGGCAGTTTAATTAAATATATTACTCTATCTGAGGTTAGATAGCGCTTTTTCATCCAACATTGTTTAACACCACACTTTGAAGAGCTGCTAACTTTCATATTTAAATTTAACTCTTATTTAGATTTTAAAATATATTTTTTTTTAACTATAATGCACTAGAAATATTTTTCAAACTTTTCAAACAGGTTCTCATCTTGCAATGTAAAAGAAATAAATCATTTCTGGCAAGAAAAAATAAATCTAGTTTTCTTTGTAATTTAAAAATTTTTATTACTCTAAATTTAAATTTTTGGGGACTTTTAAAGAAAAATAAATTTCTCTTATTTTTTTTCATAAAAATTACCATAATAATATTAAAGGCGAAATAAGCAGCATGAAAATTTATTTTAAAATAGAGAGAGAGAAAAAAAAGGACTTTTTAAAAGTGTTACGATGTACTCATTCAGATTAGACAAATAAACATTTTCCATTTTTTTTTTGTGTACTATTAAAATCCCTCGTAATACTTTCTATGGTAGTGTGTGGATTAAATAAAGAAAAAAAAACTTAATATGGTGCTTATAATATTTTTATTTTCCTCCAAGGAATTACGTATGTATTCTTCACTATAATGCGTGTAAAAGCTGTTTTAAATTTATAAAATTTTATAATATTATATTTGAATATATGAGAAAAAATCTCATATATGTACGTATGTATATAAAATGGTAATAAAATAAAAATTCTATAATAATATTTTTTATATTTAAATTGATACTTATTACAGAAAATCCTTAGAAAAATTCTCATATTACTAGAGAATTCCAATTCATGGTGAAAGAGTAAATTTATGAGCCATATCCTTCTTTTCTTCCAAAATCTTTTCATGGTTTTCGGCTATTGTTAAAATTTTATTCTTCTTATTTCCATTTAAAATTTCCCATTTGGAAAAATATTCGAAAGTAATTGTAAGATCTAAATTTTATCATTTGTTTATAATAATGGTGACAACACAAATATTAACTGACTGACATTTTTGTGAAAATATTTTTAAAACGCTTAATTAATTACAAATTTCATGTGAAATTAGTTTTTGAAATATTTTTTTTCTAGTCTAATCTAGAAATAATATGAATTTCCATTTTTGAAATGCACATCCTTAGTGGTATAATACAAATAAAAATTCATGGATCGTTAATAGAAATTAATTATTTTAATGATTCCAATGCATTACAATGTGGAATGGTTATAAAAATGTAGGCATGTTAATGTTGCATTATATTAGGTAAAGAAATAGACTTAACAAAAAAATTACAATTTTTCAGTATTTAAATTCTCTGTATTGAAAACTACCAAAAATCTTGATAATTTATTAATAATTTTATTCAAATAGTTCTGAGCTGCCATAAGTGCACAAAAAAATATTACATGCAAAATTTATTCAAACAATTATTTTAGAAAATTTCTAAATTAAAAATGGTTTTACAGGCTATAGGGTGTAACTGTCTAGAATACCGAAACTCTCACCAAAAACACTGCAAAAGAATTCTATTATTTTAGAAAATTTCTAAATTAAAAAAAAATTGTTTTACAGGCTGTCTATAGTCTATAATACTGCACTCATCGTCAAAAACACTACAATAAAATTTTATTATTTTAGAAAATTTCTAAATTAAAGAAATGATTTTGCAATAGCGTTGTCATCATCAAAATAATTACAAAAGAATTTCTTGCCCGGCCCTCACCGCTTATGACAATTATACAGAAATTATGAATCAATTTTTGGGTACATAACTTGTATACCAAGATCTCGAAACATGTGGCAAGTTGATAACAGCAGCTCCCCGTTCTAAACCAAAAAATTTAAATTTCCCAAAAAATATTCTTATAAATATGTTAAGTAACTTGATTTCGTCGAAACAAACTTATTGTAAATTACATAATAGGTATTTAAAATTAATAAACAAAATTTCGGCATTATTTTCACAAATCTTGCATTGTAAATTTTACCTTTAATTTGAATATTATTAAATTTTGCTACATTTCAAAATGATGAATCTTTGAAGACTAATGGAAAATATTAAAATATTGCCCCTAAAAGTATGCAATGTTTTTTTTTTTTATAAATTACAATGCGATGACATATTTAGATTTTTATAAAATAATTTTCATAATTTAAATGACTAATTTTATCAAAGATTAACTTTAAAATACATACGAGTATATAAAAATATTTATATTAAATAATAAATGAATTTGTATATAACCAGAAAATACTAACACATACGTAAGATGTAGAGATTTGAACTGTGAAAATCCCCTAATTATTATGCAATTATTCATATATATATATATAAATATTTATATGTATTTAGATAACAATAATAATTTTCCATAATATTTTTCTTTAATATTATACTTTATCATATACTTATTCTATTTGCACAATAATATTCTCATACGAGTATAAGTAAAAATATTATCTTTATTAGACAATGAAATTAATAAACTTTTCATATAAAATAAAATATATAAATTATATACATACATACATAGTGTGTATGAATAAATATTATTTCTTAAAATATAAAATTTAAGTTGAAATTTATGATTTTATTTCTGACTAGCTAGTAACTATACCTAAAATAATAATTTTTAACATAAATTTTTACAGTACAGACAAATCTATTATACAAAAACTATAAAAATGTATGAAAAATTGTAACATAAATTTACATATATACATACATTATATTCAAAATATGTATACAAGGTGTTTGCCATAAGTTTCCCATAAGGTAAATAACCATTAACTGAGTATTCATTCAGGGAAAGATTCCGAAAAATATCGGAAATTCTCGGGAAATTTCTAGTTTTAAAAAAAAAATTTCGAAAAAATAAAATAAAAATTCCGAATTTGATGAAATTTTTTCGCAAATACTATGGCTCAAATTTAATTTATTACCAGACCTTAAATAAAGAGTCCACGTCGGCTACCGTATGTCGCATAGTTCCTTGGCTATAGGCACTTATTAATATGCAGGCGAAATCAGGTAATTCTTTAATTCAAAAAGCTGTAGCTTAAAAAGGAGACAGTATATATGCGATCTTTCTCTCCCTCCCAATAGTCCCTGAAATTATTTGCCACTTTATGTAAAAAACACCCTATATGTATACATACATATATTTACATTTTATATCTTGTAATTTTAGTTTACAACAAAATTATAAAACATAAGTTTTTTATTATTTTTTGTTTTTTTTTCCAAGTAATATTGAAATGAGAATTATATCCACTTCTACACCTATATTATACAGATATCAAGAAGATAATAACGGGCAATATTCTATTTCTCAAGAAAATTTTATATATTATATAATAATGGATTTGTGTATAAGTATATATAGGAATATTTGTATAATTATAATGTTTATATATAAACACAAAGTCTTGAATTTTACTTCCTTTCCTTTTCAAATAAAAGAAAAAAGAATTGATTTATTATTTAACATAATACCATAGGGATATGTAAAATATAATTACTTTTATTATTTATTAATGCTGAAATTCTATATACATATACGTATGTATACAAATAATATTGTATATAGAATACATATTTTACATTTAATATTTGTTATACAAATGAACTAAATCCAAGTTTCTTAATAATTTCTTTATAATAAATTATTAAAGTATAATAAAGATTTTCGTATGTGATTATTTGGTATTGAGGTTTTTATTAATAAGTAAAACATGTAAATATGGCAGCACACTTATTCGGAACATGAATATAACAAATTTGACCTTTATAATGAAATTAGAACAAAAGTAATATTTGAATTAAAATTATCATTTATACGAAAATTTTTAATGATCGGTCTCCTAGTTTACTTTGGATTCAATTTTGATATAAATCCAATGCAGAAAAACAAAGTCTAAAATAATGTAACACAAATCTCATAGAGTGCTGTTCTTTCGAATAAATATTCAGCCCTGTCATGAATTCAACTCGTTGAATTCAACGAATTACGAACTTAACTACGGCGTAAACTTATAACTAATCACAAATTCCTTTCGTATTATAAATCTATAGACATTATAAATTAGCACTGGCAACACAATTTTT